TATTTTAAAAACAAATGACCTCCTCTTCCTATTTAGGAGCATCTGCACCTACAAAAATATAGTAGAAGCTGATTATGTTTTTAAAAACTTGATAATTTAACTCTTGGTTCTAGATTTGTAAAGTTCTGAAAGGATTGCTCTCAAAACATATCAATTTATTATATAAGTATTTAAATCGAATTTACACCTCCATGCAATATTTTGATATGTTTTGTTTAATCTTTGCTCAACATTGAATAATACTCTTATTCTCACTGTTCATTTATTCTTTGGTACTGAAGTATGTTTGATATACAACATTACATTGGTTTCAGACATACAATACAATCATTTGATTATACACATTAGCATATGCTTAGCACTATTAGAATAATTACCATCTGTCATCAAAGATATTACAATAGACATAGATATTGCAATACTATTGACTATGTTCCCTATGACTCACTTTCATCCCCGTGACAGAAATCATTTATTCTTGAGTGAACTCTGCCGCTTCTCCCTGACACACATTACAGAGGATTCCCTTCAAATCCCATCTTTGAAAGGAAATTTGATATCATCTTTACAGGGCTGCATATCTAGTGTTGTTTGAACTGGTGGAAGCCTGAGGGCAGGTCTCCTGGATGTGGCACTGTTATGTCTCCTTAGAGATGGAAGTTTCCCTCAGTGAGATATAAGTCTGGGGTTGGCAAGTCTTTCTCATAGTATATCAGGTGAACACTTTTCTTCCCATGGGACCTCAGCAGGAAGCCAGGCAGCCAGTTAGAAGCACTGCATGCAGATGAAAGATGGCTAAGCATTGCCCTGGAGTTTGAATGCCTTTTGGATTTCTGGAAACAATTAACTTCCTTTTGTTACTTTATAACATTGTTGACAACTTTTGACCAGAAATTCAAATTACTGTTATGTGTGATCCTGGCCTTGCAGCCTGTATTCCTTGTACTTTTCTTCACTGGTTATAAACCTGATACTTAAAAAGATAGTGTGCATTTGGGTGTCAGTTGAACTTAATTTTGGAAAGTATGGAAAACAAAACCTGAGTCCTTGAGCCAAGACACAGGCCCATCATTTGCCCACTTTTAACCTCAGTTTCTCCAGCTGCAAGATGGTGATAATCACAGTACGTGACTCCATGGGTGTGCTCTGCAGAGTGACTACATCAAAACACATTGATGAGGAGCATGAAGAAACAATGCCTGGCAGAAATTCAGCACTAACATATTATTAGGAACGTTCTTCAGTCATACTTATGCTCTGCAATCAGAGCTCATTATTCTTATGGTTATGTTTAAAAGTTGATAAAACTATTTATTTGTATGGCAGCTGCATCAAACTCATTGGCTTAAAATGACACAGCTTATTATCTTACAGTTCTAGAGCTCACAAGTCTGACATTAGTATTGCTGGGCTGAAATCAAGGTGTCAGGAGAGTCTGCACTCCTTTCGGAAGGCTGTAAGGGAGAATCCACTTCTAACCTTTCTCAGATTCTGGAAACCACTCCCTGCCTTGCCTGCGGTCCCTCCACCTTCAGAGCCAGTGTTTGGATCCTGGGGAACCATCTGTACATGACGCCATATCTCCCCCTCTATCTCCTGCCTCTCTCTTCCCCCATCCCTCTTTTGGGACTTTTGTAATTACACTGGACCCAACAGGACATTCCCAAATTATCTCCCATCTCACCACCCCTAACGTAATCACATCTGCAAAATAGGAAGGGAACATACTCATGATCTGGGTATCAGAACAAAGCGCCTTTGACTGAAGATGTTATTCTGCCTAGCACAATTGGATTTATTTTAACACTAAGTTAAGCCCATTATAGCTTTGCAAAATTTAAAAATTACATATTAATAGTAACATTTTAGATACTTTTTTGATAATAGGAAACACATGGAAACTTTATCTTAAGAAAAATCATACATAAGTTTTTTTCTCCTTTTATGTGTGTCTCACAGATTGAGTTCCAACTGTATTAACATCCACAATACAAACTCTGGATGGATGACAGCATCTGAAGTTACAAGTGTCTTTCATACGATAACTGGGATATAGTAAATAAAAAGCTGTCACAACAAGGGGAGATTCAGAAGAGAAAGAAAGTGGTGAGCACATTGTTTGCTGTACTTTGTGTTGACATGTGACTTTGTCTAAGATGGTATACTAAGTCCCAGAAAGTGATTGTCTCAAAATTGTATATATAACCTTAGAAATTTATGTTTAATTCCTCTTTCCTTAAACTAAGTTTCTTATTAGAAAATATGGATGTATCCTATTTTACGGGAAGCTGATTTTGTATTGAAGATACATACAAGGGCCTGCCATTTAACACATTATGTATAACATACCCAGGTGTATTTTAAACAATTTCTATTAGAAGGGCATCTCCCTAAACAGAAAAAAAATTTTTAAAGCATCATATAGATTGTAAATGTTTAGCAATCATTCATTTAAACATTGAAAAAAGTATTTGCCAGGTCCCAGGCATTCTTTTATATGGTCAAAGTACACAAAAAACAGAATAGGAAGACACCCTTGCTTATATTGAACTTACTGTCTAGCAACAGTAGACTAATAAAAAATAAGATGAATATATATGTGAGGTGTGTTAAGAGATGTGAAAACCTGAGTCATCAAGTCCAGTAAGAAGGGGCTTCTCTGAGAAGGCGGGTCCGGAGCGAAGCCCTGAAGGGCAGGAGGGCGAGACTGGGCTCAGATGAAGGGAGGAGGCTCGGGCCTGGGTGACAGCATGGGTAAAAGCCACGGGCTCAGGGTGAAGGATCCAGCAAGGAGGACGTGGGGTCCGCAGCACCAGAGCGAACACACTGGAGGAGGCAGGAGATGATGAGAGGGTGAAGGGTCACAGCAAGGCAGGCTTTGTGTGGGCCCTGTAGCACCAGAGCAGTTCTGAGCAGGATGACTTGGTCTTATGTAGGTCTTTCAACATCACTTTGCTTTGTCTAAAAGCACAGAGATAAAGGGAGATAGCGGGAACGGTTCTGCAATAACCTGAGTGAAGTAGGGTGACTAGAACATTCATGAAGCCTCAGCAGTGTCGCAGTGTCCTACCCTTTTGTGACGTTGTAATGCATAAAAAGAGGTACATGTATGTGCTTTGTCTCCATTCTGGCACAGACCCCTAGGACCCTAGGGATTGCCTAAATGGAAAGAGCTATGTGGATGTCTTTTGTCATTCACAAAAAGGCCCTTCAGAGCAACCCACGAGTTCACGGTAGTGAGGTGATGCATGAAACTCTCTGAAGGCTCACAGCTCGTTGCCATGAAGCTGACCATATGATCAGAGGTCGGAAGTTTTCAGCACTCACCTCCAAGGCCTCCCAGAAGACAAGAGGAGCTAAAGGTTCAATCAGTCATCAATGGCCAATGATTTAATCAATTGTGCTTAAATAATGAAACCTGTAAAAATCCTAAATGGGATTCAGAGAGCTTCTGGTTGGTGCACAGGTGGAGTTGCTAGGAGGGCAACGCACACCCGTGGAGGGCAAGAGATATCTGTGCGCCACCCCACAGCTCGCCCCATGCATCCTCGTTCACTCCCAGATTTTATGCTAGTCAGTCTAGTAAATAGATTATTCTCCTGAGTTCTATGAGACACTTTGGAAAATTACATGAACCTAGGAAGGGGTCATGGGAACTTCCTCCTGAAGCCAGCAGTTCAGAAACACGAGTGACTGAAAATGGCGTCCGAGGTCAGACCCTTGTGCTTGCAGTTGGCACAGAAGCCACAGGCAGGCTTGTGGGAATGAGCATTTAGCCTGTGGGATATCAGGCTGACTCCAGGCAGACACTGTAAGAACTGAATGAAATTATAAGAAACCCAGCTGCTGTCTGGAGAATGGAGAATCTCTTGGTATTGGAAAGAAACACCCATATACATGGTGACCAGAAATGTCAGAGATGAAGCATGGACAGCAGAGCAGAGACGCAGGAGGTGGTCTCACTGCACACACTTCACTTCCTGCGTTTTTTTCTTTTTTTAACCTTTAGCCATTCAAATAATAAATCAAGTTCCCTTTTCTCCAATTACTATTGACTTAGCCTGACTGTTAGAGAGAAAGGTAGATGTGAGAAGCTGGGGAAGAGGAAGTTAGAGTTCAAGGAAAAAATTGCCCACACTGCCCAAGCAGGGGGTTCCATGAGGAGACCACAAAGGCACTGCAGGGAGATGACTGCTTGCCTATCGCGACCTAGCCAACCTGTCCCAGCTAGGTCCCAACACAAGGACAATCAAACAAAATTAAGAACCACCTAAAACACACCCCCTCATGATCTCATTAAAATAAAATTGCTGTTTTGCTCCCTGCCATGGGCATTTCTGTGTGCACTTTGGGAAGACATACACACCAAGAGCAATGGGTGTAAAACTCGAGCTGTCCACCAAATGACCTCACTCTGTCAATCAAAAGAGGTGCCTCGGGCTTGGTCATGGTATACAGAGCCTCTCCTAAAAGTTCAGGGCCTTTGTCTGCCTTGACTCTAGCCTGCTCCTCCCTTGGAGTGGATTCAAATAAAAGTGTCACTCTGCCTTACTACTGTGTCTCTGCCTTTCACTTTGTTGTGGTGGGGACAAGAACCCGAGATCAAACCCTACCTGGAACACTGGTATGGATGGGACATCATTCTGGAAGCCAGAAAGGCAGAATGCAGAGGACAGATACAGTTAAAACTCTCATATAGGTATAGCAAACACCAACTTTACTCTGCAATTAGCAAAATCTGTACATTGAAACATGATCATAAACAAAATATATGAAGGGTTGTTCTCCAACAGGAGGAAGAGGTCTACAGTCACTGATTTATGGATGTGTCTCTTGGTCTGCTTCTCTCTAGCATCTGTGTTGGAAGAGGCCATCCTGACAAGTACCCTTAGAGGCATCATCTCCACTGCAAGTTTCTCTTATAGAGAAAGTTCTTTCTTTCCTCTCCATCCTTAATCTCCATGGCTTCCTGCTCCCTGGAGCTGCCATAGGCAACGTCAATGAAGAATAGAACTTTGTCAGCAGATTTTATCCTCCTGGGGCTTCAGGTAAACAGCAAAGCTGCAGGAATGGTCTTTGCAATTATTTTTGCTATTTTTGTGGTGGCTTTAACTGCAAATCTGGTCAAGATATCCTTGATTCAGGTGGACTCCCGCCTCCACACCCCCATGTACTTCCTGCTCAGCCAGCTGTCCGTGATGGACACTGTTTTCATTTGTACCACTGTCCCAAAGCTCCTGGTCGACATGGTTTCTAAGGAGAAGACCATTTCCTTTGTGGGCTGTGGCATCCAGATCTTCCTCTATTTGACCATGATCAGCTCAGAGTTCTTCCTCCTGGGCCTCATGGCCTATGACTGCTATGAGGCCATGTGTGACCCTCTGCAGTACCCCATCCTGATGAACCGCAGGGTGTGTCTTCTGCTGGCTGCTGGTGCCTGGTTTGGTGGGTCCCTGGATGGCTTGCTGCTCATGCCCGTCACCATGAATTTCCCCTACTGTGGCTCCTGCCACATCAACCATTTCTTCTGTGAGATCCCCACAGTTCTCAGGCTGGCCTGTGCCGACACATCCTTGTATGAACGCCTACTGTGCATCTGCTGTGTAATCATGCTGCTCATCCCCGTCTCTGTTATTGCAGCCTCCTACTCCCTCATCTTGTTAACTGTCCACCGCATGCGCTCCCCTGAAGGCCGGAGAAAGGCCTTTACTACGTGCTCTTCCCACTTGACTGTGGTCAGCATTTTCTATGGGGCTCAGAAACAAAGACGTCACAGGGGCATTAAGAAAGACATTTGCACAGTGCTCTTCCAAAAGCATCCGCAAGGGATGCTTAGAGCTCCAGTGACCTGGAAAAATGTCTCCAAGGAACATCCTCTATGTGCCCTGTTTCACAAGAGACTGTTGGTCAGCTATCAGAGATTATTTACATTTGGCAATTAAGATGATTTACCTTAGCTTGTGACTTTTTTCTGGGGGTGAGGGAGACCCACAATGTTTCATTATTTAAGCAGAGACTTTCTGGTTATTAAAAATAATGTATTATTAATTAAGTTAAATATTTCATCTGATCTAGGTCATTTGTTTCTCAAAAAAATAAAGAAAAACAGATATTAGATTTCACACTAACTCTTCACAGGCTACTCCACACTTAACTCATGGTTAAACAAATCAAAACCCTTGGAAAGCTACCAAATTTCAGTGCCCAAAATTCTGTGATTTTTTTTTGTATCAATAAAGAAAAACAATGCCAATTCACAAGAAACAAAGAAATTAAACCACACAATTTGGATTGTCTCTGGTTATTGCATTTGTCTCAGTGGATCCTCAGGTCTGTGATCACCTTCATGCCACTCGTGCTGAAAACGGTGACTGTCAAGTGCAAGGTGCATGCAACAGTGAGTGAGCCTGACTCAGACGACTATGAATATTGAAAACCAAAGTATTACATAATTAGTGAAAGGGAATATACTCTAATATTTAACATAAAAGAACACTATACTGTGCCTTCTTCCATGTCATTTTAATAGCAGAGATCTAGGAAGGAGGAAGACTATGACAGAAAATTTACATTTCCCAAGTCTGTATGATTCATTATCAGTATTACTTGAATACATTTTTAGTTTTGTTTTGGGTGAGATGGGAAGCTTTTGAAGAATTTTCTGTAGAAATGTAATTTGATACAATATACAGTTTAAAAGGATGACTCTGTTTATAATGTGGAGAATAGAGCTAGGAACTAGGTCAGGTAGATACAGGAAGACAACTTAAGAAGCTTTAAAGATGAGAGACAAAGATGGACTGAGGGGAGCAGTTGGGCAGCAGGATCCGGTCTCTGGAAAGACGGCTGCCGGGAGGAGTGCAGAGTGAACGATCGCTCAACAGTTTGGGCTCCAACAAAGTGACAGTGGCATTTTTATTTACTGATATTTTGAAAATTTTTCAAGTGTCAATACTGAATAGGAGAAATAGAGAATTTAGTTGTTATAAAAACACTTCTGAAATGCTTGTTGGTTGTGTGAAGTCAGTTGGGCTTCAGATTAGAGTTCTGGGCTGAAGGTCTAAATATGGAGTCTTCAGAGTTGAAGGGAAATCGAAAGTCATTGGATGAGTTGCGATCATTTAGGTAAGAATAGAGGGTTGAGAGTGAGAACTGAGGCAGCTTTGCTCACTGGGAAGCAAGTGAGAGAGTAAAAAACAAATGTAGAAACAAACAAAAACAGAAATAGACTCAGTGATACTGAGAACAAATTGGTGATGACTGTAAGGGGGGGATAGGTGAAGGGCATGAGGAGATAAAAACTACCAATATAAAATTAATTAGTATTGGGAGGAAAAACATAACAGGGACTCTAGTTAATAATATTTAATATCATTGTGTGGTAAGAGATCATAACTACACTTATAGTGTTGAATAATAATGTATATAATTGTTGAAACATTATATTGTATAGCTGAAACCAATATAATATTGGATTTAAACTATACTTTGATAAGTAAATAAAAATAAATAATAAAGAGAGGGATTGATTGGGTAATACAAAATATTTTCTCAGATTCAGGTCTGAGAATGGCTCAAAGATAGGAAGTGCGATCAGCTGCAGCAGGTGCGGCGTCTTGTTGGATCACAGTGAGCTCTGAACACTGACCATTGCATTTGGCAGCCTGGAGTCCGCTCGGGACCTAGTAAGAACAGTCAAAACGGAGTTATGCTCAGAGAGCATTTGGGGTAAAATAGAGGGAAAGGAAGGGAACAAGATGATTAAGCATTAATTAATACAGTTTGTCTTTTGTGGTAAATGAGAGCAGAGAAATGGAGGAGTAGCTAGAAGGGTGTATGACTCCAGTGTGTTTTATTGCTGAGATATTACAGCATTCCATACAAAGAGAAAATTGGTGATGGATGAAAAAAGGGGGAAATTTCTTACAGACGGAAGACATTTGAAAATGGTCAAAAGCTTTGGAACCAACTATCGTGTGTGAGCAAGGCCAGCTCATTAACTGCAGCAGGAAGGAAGGCGGAGAGAGCCCCTGCGTGGCACGAGTGAGTTACCGAGCTACCGTCTGGTGCCTCCTGTTTTCTAGGTGCGATCAGAACTAAGAAGAGCTCCTGTCTGTGAAGAACAGGGAGGATTGTTAAAAACTTGAGAATAAAGGTATTTTGGAGAGAAGGTGAGCAATGAACAAGGTAGAGATATCAGGATTGTCAGGTAGTCTTACGAATCTTTTGGGATTGATTTATAAATTTAAGATAAACATATCTGTGCAATAGTCTAATAACCGCTCCCCATATGGAGCCTAGCAAAGAATGAGCATCCACTGTGTTACCTACAACTGATTATGGCAACAATAATGACAAAAATAATAGAACAAACAACGGCTATCACTACAGACTTAGCATTCTTTATGTGAGTAAACATGTTGTAATCATTTATGTTTTTCCAGTGCTTAGAACTTGCAGCATGTAATCTGTATGCATCATTGTTTGTTTAATGGATTGTTCCCTTTATGTAAATTAAAGGCTGTATAACCCACATTCTTTCTCCTGTGGATCTTCTAGCATAACATCCTGTTCCTTCAATATGCTAATTAAATTCAGGAGTTAACACACTCCCAACATATCCCATCTTTACTCTTGTGTTTGTGATGGCTTATCTGCTGAAAAGCTGTCTCCACACTTAGTGTGAATTAACGTCCCGAAGCCGTAGTTGTGCTCAATGAACAGCCTTTGTGTTCCGACAAATCTGATTGACACCATCCAGGTTTCTATCTTTGTGCATGCCTAAGAAGTGATCATTCAGCTCTTGACTTTTATTTTCTGTTAACATTTAAACGTTTTTAAATCACTCGATACCTATACACCACTTTCAGGTGTGAATTAGATAGGCCTTAAAATCATTGGCTTATAGTTAAACTATCTGGTGTTTGAACCTTGTCTTGCTAATGTCTAGCTTATGTATCCTTGGCCATGGTAACTGATCTCTGTACATAGTTTCCTGTCTTAAGCGCTAATAAAAAATCAAGAAGTGGGAGAAGCATCTTATAACAGAAGTTTTCTGTGTCTGTGATGGTTGCTCCTTGAGGTGAAGGAAGTTCTGCCTTTGTCATCTGGCCGCTTAGCACCCTCTGCGTGTTCTCAGGACACCACTCTTGCCAGAACTCTCTCTATGCGTTAAGAAGCTTGTTCCTCAGCTACCGGAATCATAGATATTTGTGACTGTATAGGAGACTCTTATATCTGTCCCCTTTATCCCTTGGCTAGATGATCTGTCTCCACAGGAAGGAGAAATGTGTATATTAATTGAAGGGATTATTTTCAGATTCTACCTAGAACTCTAGTAGGCTAATATGGGAACGATTTGGCATCACTCATTGTCACGTGGTGGATAATTAACATAATATTATTCCAAAGCTACATTGTATGAACTCAGTGTATTTCTTAAAAGAGCATGTATGACTAGGAGAATAAAAAACAAAATTTAACTACAAAATGATATTAACAGTACCTATGAAGGATTGATGTTTATTTTTAAAATTTTTGTCATTAAATATTTTCTGCATTGAGCAGACTATTGGTTGACATATCATTATTAGAGGTAGTATTCTGTGTTTAAGCACACAAATAAGTTGGATTTCAACACAACACAACCACTTCCAGCCTTGCAGAAAGCTCTTCACTTTTTTGTGACTCAGCTTCTTCATTTTCATAAACATTAAATGTGTACTGCAAGTGGGGCGCTTTTCTGACTAGTTTAGTTTTTGGTTTAGTTTTTATAACCAGCATCATCATCATTACTATTGTCCTCAACACCCAGGGTACATCCTGGATAAAGGGCTCAAACTCTAAATTCAAACACCTGAGTATGAACCCTATGGGATGTGGATAGTTTAATACCACCAGAAATCATAGGAGCAACTTGTTCATCATGATATCCACTTCACTGAATAGAAGGGAGGATTACTTCCACCACTGATATATCTAGTGGTTCTCTGTAAGGGCCTTGAGGTGTATTGAGGTTATGCCATTATAGTTATGTGTACAGCTGCCCTTCACATCAGACCTTGGTCTTTACATGTTCTGTCTTATTTTTATTCCATATCCCTCTAGAAGCAATAAGGAAGATACAATAAAATATTTTTTTCTTACTTTTCTCCAGACATATTTTTCTTAATATTAGGAGAAGTTCATTGCTTCAAATACATTTCTAAGGCAATTTCCCTCCTATTGTATTATAATAATAGAGCAAAGATGGTCATTTAATGTACTTCTGTGGTAGAGAAGGAATTCCTTGTTGGGTATAGTTATTTGTACCTTTGTACCTAATTTCTATAAATTTTACTTGAATGCTTCATATTTTTTTAACAATTCACCATTCTAGCATGTATATTTAGGATATCATTAAACATGACTTAAAATATTTAAATGGGTGTACATTATACCACTACATGACAAAATATCTTATTAATCTGTTGCTAAAGTTTTTCTCTCATAACAGGAACATTAAAAATGCCAAATAATTTCCATTGATTAATATGATTTATTAAAGCCCAGTATTTGGTAAGCAAGTATTACTGCCCCCAAGTCTTGTGATCCTGATTCCAAGAAAGACAGAGGTCTAGGGTGGGGACTCTGTCCTGACTGAAAGCCAGTCTTAGGAAGAAAGATCCCTGGAGCTGGATATCACCACTGATAACATTAATGGTAATACATATCATTAAATTTTTTAAAATATGTCTCTCATTGAAAAAAGTATATCTGTATGCATCTTTAGTTGCCATTCTATCATTCTATCTCATTGGAATCAGACATTATGACAAGAGCCCACACAGCTCTCTTTGACTAAGAGGAGGAATACTTGCTTTAAAAATGTTGGGAAAGAAAAAGGTAACTTAATATTTAAATGTGGTATCTGCACAACTTCAGGGAAAGCAATAGAGAAGTG